GGGTGCATTTCTCCTCCATCAACAGTTAGTTAACCTTACACAATATCAATTACTAGCTTTATCCCGCGACTTTGTTCGCGTGGAATAATGGCTTCTTGCAGATTTTTGATTTAAAAACTATTCTATGCCCTGTTTCCAAACTATGTCTGTACCTACCAAATTTCACATAAATAATATTAGTTTTGATTTATTACATGTTTCAACACAAGAAATAACTATTTGTCTACAATAATGATCTTTATAAAACAAGTCATTCTGCCTTGAGAATCTCTTAAAATCAGTCTTCTTTCGTGGAACGTAATAAAACTAACATCACACACGACACGAACGCAGTACGCGAGTGAAACTACGGTATAGAGCTAGTTCGAACCAGATAATGTGGTTTCCTTGTTGAGAAAACATTAAAGGGAAAGCACACTCATTTTATAAACTGACTAGCTACTCTCGCGCGGTTTCACCCGCAGCTTGGCTCCATTTAATCGTAGCGTGATGTTTTATAGCCTATATCACTCAGGAACATTGTACCTATCTATCAGTGAAAGAATTTTGGAAACCTGACCAGCGGTTCCAAAGATTACCCCCTACATACAAACTTACAAATTTTACCTCTTTATAATATTAGGATAGATGAAAATTCATTTTATGAAACAATAAGCTATTCACGTTATTATCTGTTTGTGAAGGTATAAATCATGTAGTTGTTTGCTAGTCACGTATGGATATAGAGATTGGTTCGTTTAGAGACTTTTTTTGTTTGATAGGACGGCAAAGAAGCTGACCAGGACTCAGGATTACCTGATGGTAAGCAATCGGCGCCGAAAACATTCCATCCTTTTGAAGAATAAAGAAAGAAAGAAGATTGCTGAAGAGGAAGGATTTTGCCGCCGTAACCTCACTCACAACGCTGTGGCTCTTGTAGCTGTGCTATCACTCCGGTCGAAACGACCGCACTGAAGCATGGCTCTCTCGCACTGATTTATTAGTTATTGTTATTATATTCACATCTTAACTGTTTCACGAAACCTTTGCTTTTGTAACAATTGATCAGATCTGTGGCCAACCAAACTCTTTTCTAAATGAATGTCTGTATTCTAACCTGCATACCAAATAAGAACTTAAGTTATACCTACTTCATAGTAATAGCTAGCATTCTGCCTTGAACTTAAGAAAACTTCTAAATGATTTATAGTACCTACGTTATTGCTTACCTAAGTAGTGAGTTGCTGAAAAAGCGAACCTTGACCTATGGCTTATCCAACCCACTATGAGCCGATAAATAGATTTTTCTTTGGATAAGTACATTTTCATTCACCTTGGAAAAATATCGAGCTGTAAAAGTATTTTAAACTCTAAATTATGAGAATTTATGTTCAAATTACCGAAAACAACCTTATTTTACCCACCCTTTATAAAAATCTGACACTACAATTGTTGCATAATAATAAACAGAGAAACAACCTATGTACTTTTTTTCATAAAACAAACGCATAATTGACATACATAATTATAGGTATGTATAAAAGTTGTAAATTATTTTCGTTACTGAAATGTAAGTTATTATTTGATTATCACTAAAGCGTAACAAAAATCAATCCAAAATGGCTGCTGTCGCGATGTGAATAAAATAAACTCAGATAGTATCCAAAACTATGTTTTTGTATTACGTATTTCCTTTAATCTTTGCACATTTTAAGAGATATTAGAAGTTATCCTCAAAATACGAATCGAAAATTATTCATATTACTACTAGCTTTTGCCCATGACTTCGTTCGCGTGGAATAGTGACTTCCTGCAGATTTTTGGTATAAAACTATTATATCGACACCAGAAGTATCAATTAATGTAAGGGACAAAACACGTATTTTCAGGAGAGCCAAAAAACGATTTTATTTTTTTAAATCTCTCTATAACTTTTAACTGGTGCTTCCTATTTTAATTGTGTCTAGGACAAAGTTTCTTAGAATTTCTTCTTCTTTCATGCTATAAAGTTAATATTTTGGAATACCCAGCGGTTTAAAATATAGCATGTCCCTTACATTAAAAAAATATGTTTAGTTGTGCCTTACGTTACCAATATTTTATGTGTAAACCGTCAAGCATAGCGTAAGCAGCAAAAGAAATAGAAAATTATACGAAATTCTACTGTAAAGAACTTTTATAGTATTGCAGTTTGATGTAACTATAGATTATCTACTAAAATTATGGTATTTTGATACTTTGGAAATAGGTTCTTTGCATGATTAATGAGCTTAGCTATCACAAATTTAAATGAAATTTAGGGATACAAAAATAAAATACTTTTATTATTTTCGACTTTTATGTCTGCGTAATTATTATTAATTCAACACACTAATCAGTCTTTAACAGTTTTTGTTAAGTTTAAATAAATGTCCTAAAATTAACTGTCTTCAAATTAACAGTCTTACACACCATTTAATAAATTTAAAAAAATATAATTATGTATTTGACTCCATGATCTCTTATGATTGAAAAAAGCTAAGGCCTTAATTAACAGTTGTACAATCTATGTACTTTTAATATTTACGTTTCACTGGTTTTATAAAAAAAAAGAAAAAATATTTTCTCAAACTTAATCAACAGTTATTGAGTAATTGAATGAATGCACTGGAAACGAAAGACGATGAAAAAATATGAATTGACTGAAGAAAAAAATGATTAAAATAATATAAAACATGAACACTTATATATATATTATAACAAGAATAAATATATAATAATTAGGAATGGGCAGACAGATTATGATGATAACTATTAGTAAATTAAACTTTTTTAATGGTGAAATCGGAAGGGTTGAAATAACTTTTTCTATTTGGTATTTTATCTAGTTATCGTCATCAGCTGTCTTCACATCTTCATCGTCGTCAGTTTCAATGAGGGTATCTTTAACTGACGATTTAGTCGGCAGGTTCAAATATTCAACATGAAATCTTTTTGGTATTATGCCCGAGTCGCACAATTTTTTGAGATCATTGTATTTTGGAATGGAAATTGGGAGCCTCTCTTTATATAGAGATGGCAAATTGTCTGTGTTCCTTTGACTTATGTCATTGCTAGTACTTTCAGCTGCAGATTCATTTTTGTTGTCTATATTTTTTTTAATTTTACCTCTAGCAGCACTTCTTTTCCCAATCCCTTTACCCTTTCCTCTTGCATTAAAATTCTTTCTTTCTTAAAATTTTTATTTTCTTTGTGAGATAATAATGTAAGAGAATAATTTAGAAAAAACAATAATCTTGAATTAAAGTAAGGGACATGTTATTTAAATCGACTGATTTGAGGTTTAAGGTAAGGGTGTAAATTATTTAATACTATGACTTACTTTATTTTTCAGAGAAAAAAATATATAAATGTCTGTTACATCAATTTTTCTGTCATAAATCGTTTTACGCAGGCCAAAAATTTTTACTGTAAGGGCTCTTTTTTTAACGATAGATTTTTTTTTATAATACCAATCGATAGAGCGCAAAATTCTGAATCCAATGATATATATAACATATTTTCGTCAAAATGTCCCTTACGTTAATTGATACTTCTGGTATCGATATGTCCTTTTTTGAGTTCAAAACTATGTCTGTACCAAATATGACAGAAATCGGTTCAGTAGTTTAGGCGTATGACAGACGGAGAGACAGAGTTACTTTCGCATTTATACATAATATTATATTATAGTCTGGAAGATTGGATTTGGATTTTTTATCCAAATAAGTAGTTCTTCTAGAGTTGGCCACTTAAACTTAAATGGCCAACTCTATTCATAATGTTACCTAATGCTTTAATAATCATTTCGTTAGCTTGCAATTAACGCTTACTTTAATGAAGATGTGCTGGGTTCCAATGATAGTTACAGTTCACAGATTTTGGTCTTAATTGATATCGATTTGCAATCTGCAGCACATAGCACTTGAGGATTAGCAGATTAGGCGAATCTCAGACGTAGAGATGCTTACGTACCGAAGATGCCAAACTAAGTGGGGATAGCTACGTTAATTTTACTAGGTATTTCTACATAGTTAGTCTAGAATCAATTTGAAGTACTGGTTTTTATTCCAGAAGCAAAAACAGCCAATTATATTATGACATCACACATCATCAGCCTCTAAGTGCCCACTGCTGAGCAAAGGCCTCTTCTCACAAGGAGAAAGGTTGCGCATTGATCATCACGCTTGCTCAAAACGGATTTGCGATTTCAAACTTATAAAAATAGAAGTTGTAAGTGTTTCCCTTCATCGTATCTCAGTGGTGTCTAAATAATCATAGAAAATACATATAACTCGTAAAATTGGTACTTGTCACGTGGTTAAATCAAACATGCATGAGAAGCGGGCGCCGCAGTAATTTAAAATTTTGCATTGTTTTCTACATTTTCCATGTAAAATAAAATTATATTTCTGTTTCGTGTAATTTTATATCTATCGTTCATAAAGTAAGTGTCACTTATATGTAGTTTATGACGTCATAGAGTATCTATATTGTTTTTATGCATATTGGGTTTTTATTTATGTTCCTTCTTTACTATGTTGTAAAAAATATTGAGTAGCTTTCTTAGTCCTAACTACGATGCGTGGATGCGTGTCAGATATTCAATCCTCTTTTTATAGTGGAGCTTTATTATTTATTATAATTTATATACCGCCATTTTACAGCGTCGTAAAAAGGGAAGAAGAGAGATTATGGTAATTTCCAATCGAACAACGGTTATGTATACTAAAATGGGTTATGTATACTTAATAGTATTGGAAAAATATAGCTACACATAAGTATTAGCAGGGTATGGTGAGGTTTCATACTAACTTTAATTTAGGTACAATTTAATTATAATATACAAACTTTTTTCCCACGCCTCGGTCAAAGTAAGAATATTTAATAGGTTCTTCCACACACAAATTTTTCAAAAAAAACGTGAGTAAGAAAGACTAGGTTGCAGAAATTTATTTTATTTTCATACATATATACGAATATCAATAATAAAAAAACAGATCCATCGAGAAGCAACTTACATTATATTGTCTACGCGTTCATATTCACGGACATTAATGAATATCTAAATGAAAAACGTTTTATAAATATATTTTTTTACATAAAACATACAGTGGAAAAACATTTTCACACGGCCGTAATAGCTTTATAGATTTAACAATAACTTAATTACAGCAAAAATATTGTAGCAATTTTTATAAAAACTATGTTCGTACGATGTAAATGTACAACAGTATTTTTTTAATATTCGAGTATTAACAAATGAATACCATTTTAAAATCCTTTTAAACTAAAAGCGTGCTTTTAATTACGTTTTACAGGTAATAAAATTTTCTGAGCTAAAAAAATCATAAGCGAAAGAAAAGCTATACTAAAAATTGGTAAAATAAATTACACAAATATTTCTTTCCATTAAATATTAATATTAATCGCAACATACTAGTATATACGAGATCACAGACTCAATACACACATGCTTACGTAATAAGCGAAAATGAAAAATGTAAGGACAAAACTCAAGCAAGACCTCGCCTGTGATATCCGAGTGTAAATATTTTAACAATCTCCTCCCTGGAACTCACTACAAAGCTGAACTATGAGAATTATTCATTACATTACTATGTTTTCTTTTAACGGCGAAAAAGTGTCCCTTTTAAAGCACATTTACTTGATACTTATGTTAAAGACAAGCTCTTCATAATCAATCGACCGCTGGATGAGCCTCAAATGCTTCATAAAATTAACTACACTGGTTTTCAGAGTAACACCGGAGGTACTAAACGATTAATATGCATCTAATATAGATTTAGCCACCTCACTTGATCCAAACGTCCCATGTGTAATTGAAGCGACTGGGAGCAGCTAACGGGTCTCTAAAAACTGGTCCTATTCTAAACATTGTTTTTCCCACCTCCTCTTCCAACTCAACTTGCATTCTCGACACTAAGTCAGGATAAGTCGCTGACAAATCCGTCGTTTCACACGGATCCTCTCTTATATTAAAAAGGCATGACGTTCCTGAAAAATTTAACATTAAATTTATCAATTTATATCCAACAACGGATAAACAAATACAATTAATTTCGATGACTGATAAATATTATTCAAGTTCAACAATTTATTTGTAGTCAGATTTATTGTAATTCACACAAGATTTATGAAACTTTATTCGGCTTATGAATACAATGTGACGTTGGACGAAAGCTTAAAAATGGGGTCAAAAACTGATATAAATAGCTTACGAATAAAACTTACTGTTACTAGGATGGCATAACGTTGGTGAAGATAAATCACACTTGACTGTCGTATTGTTCCTCAAACTCAAATTGACTGTATCGAAGGTCAATCCAATTGAGTCAAGGACACCGTACACTGTGCTGTCCAAAATGGCGTCAACATAAGACGGCGGTTTACCAATAATCCCAGTAAGATTGTGGCCTTGATGAATACCATAATTCTTGTCGACGTCACCCATTACTAATTTATAATCTCCATGGATTTCTGAAGCATACCCTGAGGTATCATCGATTTCAAATATTGTTTGCCGCTTTGAAGGCAAATTAGAGTTAATGCTCTTCCAATGGTCGATGCCATCAATATCTGGAGGCGGTTCTACACCCGCAGCACTCAACAATGTAGGCAACCAATCCGTGACGTGCATGTATCCATCCCAATAATGATTCGTATTATTCAATTTTGTACTCCACAGTAACCCAGTTACTCTTATGCCACCTTCATAAGGTGTTAATTTAATTCCTCTGAATGGATGATTCGAGGCAAAGTTATTAAACTGTCCATACGACATGCCTCCATTGTCAGAAATGAATGTTACTATTGTATTTTCTATAATTCCTTTTTCGTGTAAAGCTTTGACAATATTACCAACGCCATCATCAAGTTTCTTCATCATTGCTGCAAAATAGAAATAAATTTCAGATTCTGCATACTTGTACATTATTTTATACCATAAGTTAGTATTTACCAGCAAATATTCTCCTCTCAGGTGACTCCACATGTCTCATCTGTCTAACAATTTCTGGTGGTGCCTGCAATAGGGCACCGTCATTGGCTGAGTGAGGCGCATTATGAGCAACCATTAGAAACAGTGGAGTCGATGTGTCATGGTTCTTGATAACTGAAACAAAACAAAACTTATTGTGAATAATTATAATAATATTTGTAAATATTATAAGGTTGTCTGGCACATATCATTTTCAACGATAATGACCGCCTTTGACCCATTTTCGGAATGTTATTCATAGTTTGTTTATGTATACATGTCGTAGCCATATCGCATATTTGCTCATTTCATGAATTAGTCGCATTCTGTGGTGTGAGCATCCCAATTGACCAGATCTTCTACATTCTATCTACTTTGTAGCATCAAATAAATAGGATTATTATTTCCCAGGTAAATAAATAAAACCGCTTGAGTCGAATCATTCCATGGTTAATATCACTAGCGATTGCAGCACCTACACCGGTAATTAATGAAAGTATTTTACGATGTAATCAACCAATCTTCACTGCTTGTTCGTGATTAAAAACCATTTTAACCATAAATATGTAGCCAATAATAGACTTTCATGAATTACTATCATTTCATGAATTAACCAAATATGTGATGTAACCACGACAAATATTACAGATAAAACGTAAAAATAATAGGTTTATTGACACCGTTGCTTGAAACACAAAATAATTGGATACTAGCTCTTCTCACGCGGTTTCACCCGCTGCTCGGCTCCATGTCCAATGCTCCTTAGCGTGTTGTTTTATAGCCTATAACGCTCAGGAACATTGTAGTTATCTATCACTGAAAGAATTTTGGCAATCCGACCAGCGGTTCCAAAGGTTACCCCCTACATACAAACATAGAAAGTTAAAATTTTTAACTCTTTATAATATTAGTTTATATAGAAAAACACAAAACTTACCAGATACGGCATGATCTGTGTACACATCAGTGATGTATCCTTCTACGTCCCAAGCAGGTGTTAAATTTCTGAATAACGTCATACCAGAAACATGGCCCACAGACCACTAAAAAAAGAAAATTACATTACCATTTTATCTTTTAAATCCATAAAGTGAGAACATGCCATAAAAGTACTTGATATGTAACCAAAAAATAAATGTTTTTTTAACTTTAATTGCTTACTGCTATTTTTTACGTTGATTTAAATGAGGTGGACCTATTGTGCTACCCTGAGAAAACCGACTTAGACAGTGGAGAAAATTTAATTTCTCTTTAGGTTACGTACAAACAACCAATTAATATTCCTACAGTAAGTCAATGCTAAGTATATCTTCTATATTATGATTTATTCGGTCATAAAACTTGAATGATGTTGATGAAATTACTGCTTGTAAGGCGCAGTGGCTGGCCATCTGGCTGGTATGGAACATATCGCGGATTGGATTGGAGTGAACAATACCGACTGTGTGTGATCCACAAATTGTTATCAATCAGGTCACAGATTGAGAAATTAATATATATATTAAATAATAATAATAACCTGTCTGATCAAGTGTTGTAAAATGTATAATTATTATTGTTGAATTTTTCAATTTTGGAACAACTGACTATGACTATTTTTGGCTTTTCCCTTACTCGTACTGTGATGCTTAATACACAACTCACTTAGCTGATCTTGTTTTCTAAAAATAAATTCTTACCAATTCTTCATACGTGTACTCATAATAATCCATGTAACCACCTCTATGACCGAAATGACTATCAAAACCTCTTCTAGTTGGTAAGTATTCTTCGCGAGAGGAACCGACATGCCACTTGCCAATCAACTGAGTTGAATAACCAATATCTTTGAAATACTGTGGCAAAAGCTTCAAATTCGTTGGGATCCCTCTATCATCACTCATCGTCAAGGGAGGATAGCCTTGCATTCCTAAAAGAAATAAAATGTTTGTTCACAGCTAATTAACATGAGCAACCTAAACTATCTACATAAGCAGTAAAACAATAGAAATTGTATTATAATAACATTATATTAATTTAATTAATATTCCCACAGTTTAACATAATATGTCCTTACATGTTTGTAGTCATAAAATAAAGTATACATATAAACAGTTCATGAAATTAACACTTTTTATTGTAATAATCTTTTGATATTGACTTTGCCTACATTTCCAGGGTAAATCGGAGCCAATGTCTGGCTTATCACATTTCTGTGTAGCGAACCAACTTCATTATTGATTAACAAATATTAAAATCGATTCAAACTTTCATATTAACAAATATTATTATCGATTAATGAATTAATTTAATTTACCTATCTTATATGCATATTTTCCAGTAAGGAGTGCTGATCGCGAAGGAGTACATATCGCGTGGCTGTAGTACCTCCCCAGTGCCACTCCTGAATACGCCAACAAGTCGATATTTGGAGTTAAAATTTGATCCGAACCGTGAAAACTGACATCGTCCCATCCCTAAAATATGTAAAAAGAAATGATACATCAGCCTGTAAAAATAGGTAAGGTTCCATTTCCAGTATTTCAGGTTAAAGAAGCTGAGCAAAAGGGGTTTATGGCAGATTTTCAATAATACTGCAAAAAACCACTGAATTATTGCGATTGTTTAGAACCAACTTAAGCACTTTGTAGAAGAGACGTAAGAAAGTGATGTTTTAGTGTGGGAGAATTACGCTTCGTCACGAATGGGCTAACCCCATGACCTCATAGTCAACTGGCTTGAAATAACAATTTTTAGGTTAGGTATAAGAGGCCTAAGGCCTCCTCATACCCTTAATTCCTAAATCAATCTTCAAATCCCTAAGGCTAAGAACTCACGGAGCGATTTTGAACCGTGCCCGCCGCGGTAGCGGAACTGCGGTTTTATTTCCAAACTCACGAGACCGGTTATTTGCGCGGTTACACAGCCGCCGCGGTTGCGATCATCGCCCGCAAACGTGGCGGGCGATGATCGCAAGATTGCAAGACGGGCGGTTAACGATCACTTGAGGTCCAGACCGTCATGGACACACACCAGAAACGAGCCGTTGCGTTATATTTACTTCACAGAAGACCCGCCGGCCCCCGCGGTCGCTCGCCAACCGATCGCAAAGCGTACGGGTGCCACCCGCCGAGGCTGCGGGTAACCGCGGCCTGCGCGATTCTACTAGTTGCCCGCCGGTACAGTGGGAGCCGCATACAACCGCGTACACCGCGGGCGTAAAACGCGTCGTGAAATGTGCTTTAATTTTTTATATAAATATTTGGTTTCTACAGAAGCTGCGGGCCCGCAACCGCAGCGGACGCGGGCGAAAATCGCTCCGTGAGTTCTTAGCCTAAGCCCCAGAAAACGGGCAACTCAACTCATCACGTGTTGCAGGTGTCAAAAAGCGGCGACGATTGGTTATCATTGGGTGATCTCTATAGGTACTATCCTTCTACTTATCCCGAAAAACTGTAGATCTGTTTTTATAATAACTATCGTGAGACATACTAAATTAAGCAAGCTGCGCGACGTCGCCGCGTCCGCGCACGCTGCTAATGAGGAAGAACCCCTCTGTGGTTCGAAATTAGTAGAGCTTTTCTCAATTTCTACACGTGAGTAACCCGCGATTTTTAGTTAATAGTAGATCTGTTACTGGAGTACTCCAGCAGCTTACATGCTGTTTTTGTACTCAAACATTCTGTTTGTAAAATATAAGCATTTTTTTTAATATTTTTCACTGAATTGTGTCAATATTTTTTTTACCGATAAACGGGTCGTTAACCTTACGCTAATTCACATTGAGTATCAATTACAAGAGACGCCATTTAGGTATAATCAGGGCACAGTTTTTTTAAATAACCCTATTCCATTCCATTACTGATTCGGACAAATCATGTTGCATGTTTTTCTATATAAAACTCTTAGTGAAGTAAAATAGTGGGTTGTCTGAAATTGTGACAAATACTTTCATTAGTACTCTACCCAACCCAAAAAATTTTTGCATGTGCAAACCAAGTAGGAGAAGTCATAGTATAATTTCCCCCATCAAAAAGAAATATCACGTTAATTCGACAAAAAACACGTGACGTAGACACAGCAATTAAGATAAACATAAACAATTTGTTACTCACCAAATCATCAGCAATAATAAACACGATATTTGGTTTATCAGCCTTACAAACTAATGACACAATTGCAATGGTCACAATAAAACCAATCATGTTTGCAATAACTTAAAAAAAAATTATTCACTTCCAATTTCAAAATTGTTTGTCTATTGTCTAATTAATGACGATCACAAGGGTTCACAAATGGCGTTGATATGTTAGGTCAATCATTCATAGATAATTTAATTATTTAAATCCAACGCGTGCGCACTCTATTCATATTTAACTTCAACTGTGACACGCGACCGCAAACCGTCATCATACGATATCACATCTCATAGCATTCTATTTTGTCTACAACTTAATTTTGCTCACAGGTTTCTCTTAGAAATTGCATTGTCTCTTTTTTGTTGAAAAATAAACGCGACCCCCGAGTAACTTACATGACGTGCGCACGAACAAAAAAACATACAAATCACACCCAATTTATGTGGGAGTACAAAACATGTGGGGTAGCGGCTTAACGCGTCAGCATGTTTCATTCTAGATCCATTTGTAAAAATTTCTTTCCTAACTATGCCAGTCAAACGAATCTTAGAGTCTTTATACATCTTTACGTCGTCTTTCATCTTCTCAAATTCAATTCTAGTCATCAGGTTAGCGTCACTTCCGGTATCAATCAGTGTTCGTACTTCGCTTCCTTCTATCTTTACTTTCTTGAATGGTACTTCTTCCTTCTCTTCTTTCAGGATGTGTAACGCCTTTTTAGACTTATTTGGACATTCAGGTCCTTTGTGCCCAAATCCGTTACATTTAAAGCACTTGATTCCTTTGGTGCACGTGGAAGATTGATGTTCCGTGTCACCGCAATTATAGCATCTTTTCTTTGGTGTTTCTTGGCTAGGTGCTTTTCGATTTCCTTGCTGTGATGTTGATAGAGTTGGTTTTTTTTGCATCTTCTTTCTGAACTCACTATAGGTGTCTAACTTCTTTCTAAATTCATTAATATCAGTAGCGCCATAGAGTATAACTTTATTTGTTTCCAGGTCTTTGATTCCATCTATAACATATTCCATTAGGGCTGCGTCTTCAACTTTTCCATGTAAAGCGATTTCTTTCATGTCCAAGAAGTACTGTTGGTATGTTTCATCGTTTTTCATTTTTCTTGACGATAATTTCTTGTGAACCATCGCGCTGTTTAGTTTTGGACCGAATTCTTATTTAAAAGCATTCTTTGGTTGGAATAGTCCTTAACTCTTCCAATAGATCTCAAAAACAACTTAGCGGTGCCTCCCAATAATCTTTTGGCGTAAATCAACTTTTCAACAGCTGTCCACTTCATTAATTCGGCAACATCCTCAAACTCGAACGAAATCTGAACTTCGACATCCTCCGGTCCTTCGTCATCTTCTTTCTTCTTGGGTGGAATCTTAGTCTTTAAAAGAAAGTCGTCGTTGGTCAGTAAAAATCTAAAAAATCTCTTCGTCTTATCTGATTATCCGGCTTCTTGCGTCTAAATTCACTGCATTCCAACACTGAGCATCATCCCGGATAAGCCCCCAAAATTTGTGGGATGATTCTTTTGGAAAACAGCGAAATCTTCAAAATAAACTATATTTTTCTTCTGAACAAATCAGAGCAAATTTTCATTGTCATTTTCTTCTTTTTCTTGTCATTTTCTTACCATCTAGTCGATGGTCTTATGACAACATTTAAAACTTCTTACTCGTTATTAAATTAAATCCTTTTTTCCCACATTTATGTAGTGCCTATTCCAAATCAACGGTACTTTCACTATAAAGAAAAACGTTTTTCATTTTTTTTTACTTGGTACAACATAAATACTCTCGTAAACATAAATAAAAATAATCAGTTCGATTATCTATAAGTTATCTTCCACATAATATATCAGTAAAGTACATAATATAATCATTATAAATTTTCATTATTGTAGACTAATAAAAAAGTCAAAAACGAAAATTCTAGTAGCATATAAATTTTATTGATTTGTTAACAAATATAAATAATACATTTTAAACAACAAGTTTTAAAAAAACTAACTGAACAAGTACAGAAATTTAAAGCAAAAATTAACTTTAATATAATTAATAAATAACGATTACAATACAAATAAAATCTTCATTGTACACATTAAAGCAATTTGTAACAAAGGTGTAAGAAATAAGTAATAAACGATATAGGCCAGAAAGGCGGTATTTTTGTTAAAAGCGATATCTAGGCGACCTTTAGGTGGATGGAGCACTATTTTAGATGATAATAGTGGCAGTCTAGGTGTACTCAGGTACTAAATGTATCCAGGTAATACAATCTCACTTAATCCAAGTATCCCATGTAAAATTATGAAGCCTAGGTGCTGACAAAGGGTCAATAACAACCGGCAAAACTCTAGGAATCCGTTTTGACATCTCAACGTCTAATAAAGCTAGCATGCTTGCAACCAAATCTGGATGAGTAGCAGACAAATCTGTCGTTTCACATGGATCCTCTATTATATTAAAGAGGCACACTGTATCTGGAATTAATAAAGGTAGCATAAATAAAACATTAATAATAGTAACTAATTAAAAACAAGACAAACTAGAAGTTGCTAATAAACTTAGAGTAGAGTATATTGCCGTATGATACTCACTGTTACTAGGATAACATATAGAATTTGAAGGAACATCGCATTTAATGACAGTCCTATTTCTCAAACTAAAGTCGTTCGTATCGACTGTTCGACCGATTGAGTGAAGGACTCCAAACACTGTGCTATCCTCTATAGCATCAACGTACGACGGCGGACTGCCAATAATGCCTCTGAGATCGCCGCCCAAATAACCACTGTAACTTTGAATAGGTTCACCAATTATCATCTTATAGTCTCCGTAAGTTACCGATGCATATCCTGTGTAATCATCGATTTCGAAAAATTCCTTCCTTTGCGATGCTGAATTAGTGTTGATACTTTCCCATTGATTAACACCATCGACGTCTTTTGGCGGTTCTACGCCAGCAGCACTCAACAATGTAGGCAACCAATCCGTGATGTGCATGTATCCATCCCAATAATGACTCGTGCTGTTCAAGTTTGCGCTCCACAGTAACCCGACTACTCTAACGCCACCTTCGTAAGGCGACATTTTAATTCCTCTCAACGGAAAGTTAGAAGCAAAATTGGTATACTGCCCTGTCGTCATACCTCCGTTGTCAGCAGCGAATACAATAATCGTGTTTTCTAAAATTCTCTTGTCTTTTAAAGCTTTAACAATATCACCAACACTATCATCGAGTTTCTTTATAATGGCTAAAAAGTAAAAAGTTTAATGATATAGTAAAAGTACTTAGTCAAAAAATGTTGAGCGATTGGAATGCCCTACAATATTACCAGCAAATATTCTTCTGTCAGGAGACTCGACGTATCTCATTTCTCTGACCACTTCTGGTGGGGCCTGCAGGGCAACGGTAAGGCTTCCGGCGTGAGGAGCATTGTGATTAACCATTAAGAATAGAGGAGTTGATGAATCGTGATGTTCAATAACTGGCAAGGAAAAGTTCAATTAAAACCACATACTTAAATATAACAACAAAAATCTAACGTACATATTAGAAACTTCTATTTAATCTCTTGTTTACCTTTAATAGCTTCGTCTGTGTAAACATCGGTGATGTAGCCTTCGACGTCCCAAGCAGCAGTTCCATTTTTAAACAGTCCTAATCCTGACTGTTGACCGTCCTCCCACTAAAACCAAATATACATATTTGGTTACTAATAGAATTGACAAGTCACAACGAGACTAAACAATGGAACTTCAAGATTGTTACACAACATGGGTGCATAGGAGAAGATTTTTTTATTTGGATATGTACATATTTAATGAATACTCTCAGTGTTGACATTGCGATGAGGGGAGCACAGAACGTGACATCACACAACAAGGTATTTAATGTAGCTTCAAGGTGGATATCAATGTCAACCGGGGTTGCGTTGTAAGCGCAATGAGGCACCGCGGCCTCGGTCTAAAACAGGAGACGCGGGGGTTTTTAGTCAGTAAGTCTGACAGTCTCTCTTGCCTTACCCTGGACGGGAAAAGACATTTGATGATTTTCCCCTGACAAAAAAAGGTCGATATTAACTTATCTCGAAATACTCACATTCTCGACTACGGTATACTCATAATAATCTATGTATCCACCTCTATGGCCGAAATATGTATCAAATCCTCTGCTAGTTGGTAAATATTCTGGACGGGAACTGCCAACATGCCATTTGCCAATCAAATGAGTTGAATAACCGACGTCTTTAAAATACTGTGGCAATAATTTCACATTTTTTGGAATACCCCGATCTTCACCCATGAACAGAGGATTACCTTGCATTCCTGCAACACACATACGTGGCAACATTATTTCATATCCACAAGAAAACAATACCCTTGGCAATGGCCTTTACAGAAAAAACATTAAGGTAATAACGTAAGATAAGTAATTTGATGAATGAAAGATCACTCCTTTCCCTTCCCCCATCCTATAATATCCGAAACCCTAATCCTTATTAGGCCGGCAACGCCCTCGTGACTCCTTTGGAGTTGCGGGTGTCCATGGGCGGTGCCGATTGTTTACCATCAGGTAATCCGTCTGCTCGGTTGACGACCTATCTCAAAATCAAAAAGAATTTTATGATCAAACATTTCATCAGTGCAATATCGAAGCCAAAAAGAGTAGGATAATTGACGAAATGTACAAACAAAAAACAATTTTTATCTAACAAATCAACTTCGAACACCATATTACCTATATACTAAGTGTTATCTACCTGTCTTATATGAATATTTTCCAGTCAAAAGTGCTGCTCTCGAAGGAGTACATATAGCGTGGCTGTAGTACCTCCCCAGTGCCACTCCCGAATATGCCAACGAATCAATGTTTGGCGTCAAAATTTGATCGGAGCCGTGAAAGCTGACGTCGTTCCATCCCTAAAATATAATTTAAGTAGCATTACACTGTTTTTCTCCCAAATTTTAGTAACAGGTTTGTCTAGCTAAATACATATAGGTATGTTTCATCTGAGAAAATTCTCAAACGACGACAATAATTTATTATATTAGGTACTATAATTGGAAAAAGGTTGTGGGGTCTTCTGAGTTCTTCTATTGAGATAACGAGAGGACTGAGTGTCGTTTAAAGGTAGGATCTGATGATGACAACTGTTGTGGTTTAAGTGTGGGAGAGCCATGCACGAATGGGTCGGCTCGACCGGAGTTATACCACGACCTCACAGAAAACCGGCGTGAAACAACCACATAGTTGTGTTTCGCCGTGTGAGTGAGGTTACCGGAGGCCCATTCCTTCCCCTACCCCAATCCCTTCCCAACCCCTAAATCCCCAAAATCCCTATCCCTAAAAGGTCGGCAACGCACTCGTAACTCCTTTTTTGTTGCGGGTATCCATGGGTGATGCTGATTGCTTACCATCAGGTAATCCGTCCGCTCGTTTGCCGACCTATCACAAAAAAAAAGTGGTAAGATCCTAAGCTCCCATATCCTTGTTTCCAAAACGGCACCCTTTGAACGTTTGTCGAAGCAAAATGAGGTATCTTTCAAATGTTATTGAATTCCATAATGTTACATTAGGTATTATGTCTAAAAGTATTAAATGAAATATTCTTTATTTCCGGCAATTAAACCCATAGCAATATATAAGTATTAAGATAATTGAAGACACTGTTACCACAAATTACAAGATTTCAGTAACGTAACATTCACATTTTGTGTCTATTGTGTGTTAAAAGTACCCTTACAATAATTTGTAGGTATATCTAATACACAAGACGATCAAATATTTAAAGCAAAACTTACCAAATCGTCAGCTAGTATAAAAACAATGTTTGGCTTGCTCCCATCACAAATTAACGACATGCAGCTGGCGGTAATGAAAATTGGCAAAACTATATGAACCCCCATCTTGAAACATTAAGTTAAAAAAAGAATAAAATACATTAATATCCTGTGGCCAATTTTCATTACGAAAACTAATTTCAAATAGTACTAAACAATACTTTTAACAGACTGAAGAAAAGAAATAATCTCTATAGATAAGCTATGCATTATTGCTAATAAATTACCAATGTACCAGTTATCTAAATTATTAGACGATAAAGAAATTACTGTTGTAAATGTCTGCAAAAATAATGAAATTAGTGAAATGGAAAAAAATATTACCATGCCAAGCCATGCAACAGAAAGACTAAAATAAACAAAATAATTTGCATAATAAAACTTATACTTTTATATAATTCTAGGCAAGAAAATATTTCTTTTTATTTGTCAGGGGAATATCATCAAATTACTTCTCCCGCCCAGGATCAGGATCAGGGATAGCATTCTAATGCAGGGAGAATGGAGTATCCATTAGTTTACCTACTAAAGATAGTTTACCTGCAATTCCAACCAGGTACGCCTTGACGTTCTGGTCTTGGTGGCCCGAAGGTAAGGCGGCCACTTCTGCATGATGCATCTGCGGATGCATTAGAGTACAGGTCTGATGAAGATGGACGCAAGGGAGGTTGAGATATAAATCTCACACTGCTAAGTCTTTTTTTTGCAAAACGAAAGACAGAGCTGATGGTGTCCCTCCGAAAACAAAAAAAAATTCTACCTAACATATATGTATGGTAAAAATTGCGCCCCTTTATCATAGCTATATATCATATTGATTATAGATGTATATTATCTGCACATTATGTAGGTACATGAGGTGAATTTTATCAATATCAATTTTGGGCAATATTAATATCGTATTACGTATAACTCATACTGCCCATATTATTATGTTTGGAAATGTCCACAAAATTATTTGCTGTTCGTGACTGAGATTCTGGCTGTTTGTTATAAAACTATGGCTAAATTCAAATCATTTATCTAATTCAATTAGATCTATATAAGATGCTTTTAAAAGTCAAACAAAATAATCCTCTAACAAGTGAAGCTAGCTCATTCCGAAGTGTAGATTCCGTTGAAGAAAAACGAGCAAGAAACTCCATAGTTACTCTGTTTCAATCAAATCAGTTTCAAAGTCTAATTTTAGATAAAAAATAGGAAATGTGCACGAACTCTTCCAAAATTTGTCTACATCTATAAAAGATTCAGCCGGCCGGTTCATCCAGTTTGAAACGGTTGGCAGAAATAGGAACGAACGTAGTAGACCGTTCACCGCAACTTTGCGTACATAATGCACTTGTCAAACGTTCCAGTTGAACCGAATGCCGCACATTTTCATACTAACTGGGGCTAACGACTGCCATTTTAATGTTAAACTTTCCAACAAGTCCATACAAAATTATGGTAAGTACTCATATTTTGTGGATGGGCTTAATGTGAGGTCATAAGGTCGTAATTATGTATAAATAGGTTATAAATTTATGTATAAATAGGCTATTCATAACATGTCGTAGTGGTGGCCCAGAGTTAACACGACACTGGAGAAAACCATAGAGTAGGGCAACGTTTTTAAAAAAAACTAAAATATGCGCCTACCTACAATAAAAGGATAAGGACAATTTTTTGTTTGTTTATCATAAAGACTCAAAATTCTTAACAGATATTTCACTTTAGTGACATATTTGTGAAATATTTCAACATTTGTGAACATTAAGTTATGTTATGATTCTTCTTAAACTTAATGTTCTAAAGAACATTTAGTTATGTTATGTTATCGAGGAGCCACTAACACTGTAATTTACCCATGCGACGATACCTCTATGATAATAATATATTTTCAGCATGCAACGACATCAAACAAAACCATTTTAAAATTCTTAAAAACATATTTATTTTTTTCTTAAAACTAAGTATCACACTTTATTTTACAGATACAGAATAGAACAGAATAAAAAGTACATTAGTGGTCTTCTTATATCATTAAAATATAATAAACACTGGATAACTAGAATTTAGTAATAAGATTAGTATAGGAACTTAAAAATAATCGTCAACAATCACTTTAATATATCTAAAGTTTTGAGACACGCACAGATAATTTGGAAAATAAATGAGGGAATCTGTATTTTTTATGTAATAGGTCGGCAAACGAGCAGACGGATTACCTGATGGTAAGCAAACAGCGCCCATGGACACCCGCAACGGAGGAGTTACGAGTGCGTTGCCGACCTTTTAGGGATTAGGGATTTGGAGATGGAGATTTAGGGATTTAGGAGGGATTGGGGGAGCGGAAGAATTGGGCCTCCGGTAACCTCACTCACACGGTGAAACACAACGCTGTGGTTGTTTCTGTGGTGTATTAGGTAGTATTCTATTCAATTTGGTCATAAAGTTACAATGGTCATCGGGTCCCACGCTTTATGGACCCCAATTTTTATGGACGTGACTTAAGGCCTATGTTCACACTCATGGTGTCATTAAATTTAATGTAATACTTACAATAGTAAACGAGGGCTTTGTGATAAGTTACGATATATTCTTAAAAAAGTTTTTTTAAAATGTTACCATAAAAGTAGCAAAATCTATTGAACACTCTGATATTAAAACATTCCATACCGTTATTACAATATAAGCTACAATAAATAGATAAAAAACTATACAAGATTGTAAAAATAGAATAGATAAAATACACTTAGTTTCCACGCTAACACATTTATACAGAAACTTTCAAAGTAAATTCGTCACCGTAGCATGACCAATACATACTCTAATACCGTCAATAGGTACGGTAAAATAACAAAAATACTCAAACAATTTAAAATAACATAAGTACAACTATTTACAAACATACTTTGAAATCAGTATAGAACCATTTCACAAAACATCAATAACTAAATGGTTTTTCGCATCATGATTGACATACGTTAGATCCACGCATTGCACAAACATTTTTAAGGATAATTTCTGAACCAACCGCTTATAAAGAAAACGAAGATTGATTAATACTAAAATATACTTCTCAAAATACACAAAAAGTTTCTTAAGCCCGTCGTACGATCGCAATTGATAACTGAAGCTAGCGTTGTGTTTCTATTAACAACTCTTTCTTGATTGAAATTGAATGAAAAGTCAAAGTTATCAATTGTTTTCTGGTCATTTCCTATGGGATTATCGCGGGTTTCATTGCAGCAGATCCATGGAGTCCATACATAGCGATAATTTGCTGGATCTGCAGTTTCCTGCAGTCTAATAGCCCCTCTTCTTAATTGTGAAGACCAGAGTGCCCGGAGACGGCTGGTCAGCAATGTAGCTATCTTGTTAGCACGACTCCATAAGTCACGACTCTCTGTTGGGTCTTGTTTGACATTGTATAGACAGCCACGGGCTGAAAAATGAGAAATATTTTTTTTAATTATATGATTAATATCTAAGTGTTCATTATAAGCGAACTCAAATTACGTTGGATTTGCTACCAGACATCACAATTCACATTGTATTAAGAAAAAAAATTACACTTTTCTCCTGTGTCGTGGGTACGTTTACAAACATACAATTTCACATGCATATCACACCCAGACCCGAAACAACTATTTGTGGATGCGGGATTCCACAGCCAGTTGCCCAGCCACCGCGCCAATCGTACAGTCGAATCTAATGCGTAATGTTAATCTTTCAATTTACTTACTAGGTGTAGGGAGACACGGAGTAGCATCCCTCGCTGATTCATCGGCTCTTATCGTAGCTACCTTCCTCATAGACCTTACGACGTCAAAGTCTAAATACCTTCCTATTTCTCCCAAAACTCGTGTTACGTCACTATTTCCTAACGCAGGAAAATAGTCTGGAGGAGACCATTTGTTTACCATCAATTCTGCTCCATAATAACCATTACTGACACCGGTAACATTTCCTACTATAATTTTATAGTCGCCAGCTCTATAAGAAGCCCAAGCGTTTGTCGCGCTGTCTTCAACAGTTATTAGTACTTCCTTACGTTTGGACACTCCATCATACATTATGGATTCCCATTGGTTGACTCCATCTATACCAGCTGGAACTCTCCCTCCAGCTGCTGTTATTAATGTAGGGAGCCAATCTGAAATATGCATCAGTCCTTGCCAAACCTTTGGCCTGAGTGAGGCCTGCCAAATAAACGCAGGGACTCTCACCGCCCCCTCCCAAGGTGTGTACTTCTTTCCTCTTAATGGTAAGTTCACCCCCCAATTCCTTAATTCTCCGACAGTGGCAGCTCCATTATCAGATACAAAAACTATGATGGTGTCCTCAAGGATTCCCTTGTCACCAAGAGCTTCAACAATCTTGCCAACACTCCGGTCTATTTGCGTAACAATTTCTGAAAAATTTATTGTAACCTTTTTAATTGTTTTCCTACTATTCCAAAGTAATTTACGATATTTTTAGGTAATAGTTTTATTTCCAACATTATATTTTTGACTTACCAGAATAAAGTCGCCTGTTCGAGTTAGCGATGTGGTCGTTCTTGAGAGGAGAGTAGAGAGGCGGTTGCAGGGCTCCACCGGCATTACCAGCGTGAGGCCCATTGTGTGTGACATGCAGGAACAGTGGCTGAGATGAGTTGTGATAATGAATTACTGTAAAAATAAATCACAATTAAGACCTCGCTAACGCAAGTCCTGACCGAAAATGGGCAGGTGATTTTTCCATATTGAAATATCATAGAAAAAATTCGCATTAACTCTGCATTATATCCGATAAACTAGTGAAACATATTTACGTGTAGATATTTATCATCCGTTACCTAGTGAAGGGACTTAGTTAAAGGCAGTTTCGCTTTGAAACTAGGCAATTACAATGCTTTACAAAAGGTAACATAAAATATAAAAAATCTTTTACAATGAAGGTAATTTTGGTAAAAAAATATGTCATTCTAACAATGGGCCGGCTTCCACCGAAATAAATCTCAAGAAACCCATTGAGCAAAGAGTATTTGCATGATTGCAGTAGGCTCTAACCAACTATACATACAATTTTGAAGCAACCATTGCAATCACAGTGAATTCCATACCGAAATGAATATTACGGAACTCCAATTGCACAATCACACCCAATTTTAAGTACAGAAGATGAAATCTTGCGTTTCCACTTTTATTGAATACGTAAAAAGTGTTGCTAAAGGTACCTAATTGGATTTTAACAATGCTTTTGTAAGAAATTTCTACGTAAACTTACTATTAACTGCTTTGTCGGTGAGTGCGTCTACAATGTACCGGTGTTCGGTCTCCTGTGGTATTGCATCATCGTAAAGATCGAGACCGTACATTAGTCGTCCATTCGGCCACTGGAAACAAATAACAATATTTTGTAGTACTCGTAGTAGCCATTTCAAGAAAATGTTGACTTTACTTTTATTACGCACTAGCGACCCGCCCCGGCTTCGCATGTGTGCAATACTGATAGTAAAATTCTCCACTACATAATGGATGTTATTATACATATAAACCTCTTCAATCACTCTATGGATTAAAAAAACCGCATCAAAATCCATTGCGTAGTTTTAAAGATTCAAGCGCACTTAGGTTTATTAGGACGAAGAACGTGACTATGTTTTATACTATGTAGTGATTCGTGCTTTAAGTAGTCTATTGTCATCAATCGCGGTAGTAGCAAACCTAAGTGAACATTAATGAATTTCAACAGTGTTGGTACACATATATCCTTCTTCATTAAAAGTCGTATAATGATTTTAATTTTCTTTACTTAAGATATTATTGATTGCATCCTTTTCATCCCCTTTTAGATTGGTTATGACTTCAACTACATGTCAATTTTTATTTTCGTCAGGTACAACGTATGTAGTGTCCTATCGCGTAAATGTGCTAAACAGATAAATAAAATCATTTTCGCTCCTATAATTAACCCATTCACTTCCAAGTACTTTCACGTCTAACAAAACGTGGCTGCATATCCGCGTTGTTGGCCTTATAAAATTTCATGGCTCGGTTACTAGGTAGATATGTAGGCACCTACCTACACCTAACTTAATTACCTACAACGCACCTTTTGTATCAATATTTTTTACCTGACTCATTGGACTAAAAGCCTTATTAAGTTTGATAAAAAAAATGAATATTGTGATAATTTGCTTGAATAACCGGAGCTAGGGAATTCGGCAGTTTTTAATTAGTGTGCCTTAGAAAGATGGAAAAAGAGATTTTTTCCGCGTCGTTTGAGATTTCTATTCCATCGGATTATAATACATTTTTAAAAACACATTTCCGCTAATCATATGCTCCGAAATATATCCTGCGAGGACAATTTTAACAATTTTTTATGCATAAAATTTTCGTTTTCGAGGCTTTGCACTTAAAATTTCTTTTGTGTCACGGGTGCCTTTATAATTATAAATATATAACTTAAATCACACATCATACCCAGGACTGAAGAACAATAAGAGGATCATACAAGTAATTACTCCTTGTCAAACCGAGCCGCGACAAGTTAACACAGCAGGTTGCCTGCGGGAACCGAGCAGACGATACAAAAGGTACTTACAGTTTCAACTTTGTTATAGGTGTAATAGTCGACATAGCCTCCTCTCATGCCATAGTGGTGGTCGTAACCTCTCGAAGTAGGAAGGTACTCTGGCCGGGACATTCCCACGTGCCACTTGCCCACCAAATGTGTGGCATACCCTAGCTCCTTTAGGTACGAAGGCAGAAGACGCTCCGTCAGGGGTATTCCACGGTCTTCTGAGTTGAATAGGGGAAGACCATGCATTCCTGAAAAAAATTATTGAGAACATATTTAAAGTCAATTCTCTTTGGGTTTGTCATAGGTACTGGTACAAATATATTGCATCATCAGATTGTATCATGAAGTACATACTGGTGAACAAGGCTTTTTCTCAACCGAAGAAGGTTCGAGTATTAATCACGAAGCTTGCTCAAGACGAATTGACGATTTCAACCTTATAATAAGAATTTATTAGTCCTGGTTTCCTCGTGATGTTTTGCTGTTTACTTCAAATCATAGAAAGTAATTAAGTATAACTCCGAAATAGTAACATTGTTACTTGTCAGGTTCCGAACCCGCAAACTTATGTATGAGAAACGAGCGGCATAGGTAGGTACTGGCTGTGTGCTAATTGTAATTGTGTGAGAACATCACATAAACATTATGTATGTAATTTATATGTTTGGTAAAAACACGAAATACAGCTGATTTGTGCATAGAGATAAATTGCCATAAATTGCATTATTACAGTTTGCATTGTAAAATCACTTGAGTTCTTTCAACACGGTAGTAATTACAATCTCAGATACAAATATAACGATCAATAAATGTCTTCATTGGATTACATTATAGTAAAAGGCTTCGATGAAAATATCATCATCTTCGAGGTACTAAAACGTTGTTAAGTAGGCAATTAATTATTAGTAGGTAATTGTTCTCGTCAGCAAACACGCAATCGCGAGATACGACCTTACGTCATGATCGGAACCAACCATTGTATTCACTATTTTGTAAAATTACGATGAAGTTGTCTCTATGAAATAGGTATAAGATTTTCCTTACTTCTGATTATAATATTCATCGTTTGGTATTGTTATTTATTCAATCTTTATGCAAGATAGAATTACATTGGCGAACTTAATGCCCTAGGCATTGTCACTTTCATCCTTTTCCTAGACAAACCTTCGCTGATAACTAGTTGCTAGTACAACGAAAAAAAAACAGAATCCAACAAGATAATGAAAGTGTTAAAATCCATAAACACGCAGCGAATTCGCGTGAAATCGTATACAACATTTTCTTTACTCTACACTCGAAACCTTGTGCTACAAAAAAAAAACTCTTCAAATGTGACATTATTTTTTAAAACCGCTTTTTGTATTCTTCCAGTCTCATCATTAACCTATAAATGCAGCAACGGTTTCTTCTCACACGGAAAAGATTTGAGCATTAACCAATACGCTTGCCTGAGGCGGATTGGAAATTTCAAACTTATTATTAGAAATATTAATTAGAAGTCCAATTTTACTCCAAATTTTTTCCTTCATCGTTTGTCAGTGGTATCAAAATAATAATCTTAAAGAAAGTAAAAACCTAAGAAAAGTCACATTGGTATTTCCTAGATTCCGAACCAACTTTCTTACTTGACTCGACTTTAACTTTCATGCATGAGAAGGCGGCTCCTCAACCTTCAGGCCTACATTATCCTTATAGTAGGTGATTGGTAGTAAGTATTTAAACCTTCTAAAGAAGATAGTTAAAGACACATAGGGCTGATTTTTCAATGGTAAGATAAAAGTGATGATACCTGGGGAATAAATGATGCTGTCGCGTTAGAATGTTTGTATAAGACAGTGACAGCAACAATTTTATTCCTCAGGTGACATTTATCTGACTATTGAAAAATCTGCCCTTAAGCAGAGATATACATATATATACCATTGGAGTTGGGTAGAGTAAGATAAGTAGATAAGTATGACATAAATAAGTACCTACTGACAATGCCATTTAATTTTATTTTCTTTTACTTGAAAACAGCAAAATTAATTAATTGACACTTATATTCGAGAACTCAGTTTCAATTCTCCGAAATGATAACTGTATATAACAAAATAATTACCTTTTCACTTTAGGGTTGCTTTACACGATACCATTTTATTAAGTATATTTATTTAGTTCAGTTTACACAAACTTTTTGTATTGAGTTTACACAAGAATAATACCTAAATTTATAAGTGTGACAATTACGTACCACATTGAATTAATGTTCTTAAGGCAACAGAAGCAATAATAGTATTCAATAAAATTAAGGCTTGTTTACATTCATCATCATCGTCGAAGTCATTTGTTCACATTATACCATACGTATTATTAAGACTATGCAAGTCAATAATTGCTTTAATTAATTGTATGCAACAGGCAATAAACTTATGTACATCGTGTAAATAAAGTTTAAATTTGCCAAAAAGGCAACACTTATTTAAAAATCTAAAAAAATGCACGCTGTACAACATTTCGTTATTACAGACACTTTTTAGAAGCTAACAAGAAATGATAATCTTTATTGCGATAAAAAAACTAACAAGCAGAATTTTAAAAAAAGAACACAGACATAATCCAAAGTTTATGAACACTTTAACAGTAATTATTTATCAACTCCTCCTTAAAAATCAGCCAAGCAGTAAAACCGTCTCATTAATTGCCTCACACCGCTACCACTACCCATAAAATTATATAGGTATAGGTATGAATGAAGCAATTAGGTACTTTATATTTATTAATGTACAAAAAGTTGTAAAATTATAATATAAAATATAATTTAATTACCAAAATCCCTAGTTTTACGAAAGCATATTATTATCTACACAGAATTGCGTATCGCACGGAGGTAAACAACTCTCATTTTGCAGTTCACCTTCGATAACATTGCACTTTCTTGAATGAAATTATTTTATATGCAACAGATGATAAAAATAATTAATTACCGTCATATATGGAATTATATTATAATAAAAATGGTTGTAAACGTAACTCCCCAAGAGTTACGTTTACAAAGAAATCACTGTCACTATTTGTGAATTTCAAAAAAATATGAATGTGTATGATTTAATATCATGTGAATAGCAATAGGGTTTTTAATATTGGAGCTACTTTTAATAGACACAATGCTCTACCTCTGTCAAAAAAACATCGTACTGATAGGAAAATAGATGGATGTATAGCAAAAAACGTTAAAGAAAAGAGCTAACAAATAAATAAAATAAAGTAAATCAATATCCAACAGGTGATTTGACCACCTTACTCGTTCGTAAGCGCGGATTCAGCTGCGGGTGGAGCATGATTGCTCTCGGACTTGTAATTTAAAGATACGACTTATTGATATGAAAATAACAACTGATATGAGAATAAAATCAGCAAAAAATCTCCGCTTCGATGTTGCCAGTTTTGTTCATCAGAATCACTACTCCTTAATTCTCCCTATCCCTATGCCTATGCCGGACACAGTGTCTCCGAAGGCTATACCTGGGTCACTTCAAGGCCCGAGTGAATAGATTTCTTATGGGTGGGTGAGCATCCATCCATCCACCGTAGGTCGCATAATCTCTTACAACTACGCGAGGAGTAGAAGCTGTCGTGAGACAAACCTTTTTTTTTAAATAACGACTTTCTCACGTTAATAAGCTGAGGCGCCTGCGCGACTCGTACACTACTCGTGAATAAGAGTCCCGTAACTTGAAACTAGTAGAGTTTTTCTCGGTTAATTCACATGAATAAGTTGATATTCTTTTTTTTTCTTTCTTTTTAAAAAACATTGACCCACACTAGGATTTTTCTCCTGTGTCGTGGGTGCGGTTACAAACACAATTTCACATACACATGACACCCAGACCCGGAACAATAATTTGTGG